GTTGTTGAACATACACTTACTTGTACGTTGTACTCTAGGACTTGTATTTGATCTACAGATGAATGATGGAACAGTGTAATTTATTTCTGTACGCCAATTCGTTCTCACTGTATTTCAGTGGGCGGCTTTTAAAAGTTAAAACTGCAAGCATAATACACACAAATAACGTAACACTGTGTCGTATTTACTTAACGTAGGGCAGTTATGCTATATCCTAGGGGAAGGCACAATTATTAATTAATAGGCATTATAGGTCAGAGGGAATTTTGTGCCCTTCACACCTGCACCCGGGGGCGACAGCCTCCCCTTGCTACGCCACTAATCAGTTATATCGAATAATCAATTAAATCATCCAGCTCTTACTGTAATACCTCTTATCCACCCAACTGGTTGATATTACTGACTTTTTCTAAATGTGTATCGGCCCTTAGTAACTCTCACCCATCTAAAAAGTTGATATTACTTACTTTGCTGCTATGCTCGTAACCAAAATCTACAGCTCTCACCCATCTAAAAAGTTGATATTACTTACTTTGCTGCTATGCTCGTAACCAAAATCTACAGCTTATTACCTTATTTTTAAATCATATAGCAAAGAACCTTCTGTGTCCATCCACTAAACTAAACATTAAAAATTAAAAGTAAAACACTTATCATTCAAATATTTACCAAGCCTTCCTTTAAGCACTATTCAAATAACTTCATCCACCACACCTGAAAGTAAAATATTATAAAGGCCAACCACCTTGTTAGAAAAATAAAACTATCTTAGCTGAAGATGAGTCCTACTCTGCCAAATTTATCTGTGTTCCCTAGTTCTTCCAGTCTCACCCTTAAGTTAACAATAAATCTAAAATAGTCTTGTTCCTCGCAAGTTCTACAACTTATTGGTGAAGAAAAGCATCCTGAACAGTTTCTAAACACCTGTCTCTCACATGATTTGATTAAAACTTCTCTAGATTATAACCTTATTAACAGCTGAACTTTTTATCTCACTCTAGGGTTTCTTATTAATTTCATTAGCTTCAAATGGTGATCTGAAACAAATTCCAACTAAAAGCCTTCTCCCCTAAAAACTGCTAATAAAAACCCAAATAGAATTCAACCTCATTGCAATTACTTTGATATCCTCAACTTGAACAGGCTGTAACTCACATTTTACGTATTAAACCACTCCAATCGAAACTGTCTACATTAAACATGTTTCTGCCATTTCCATTACATCACAATCCTCCATTCCAACTAGCTCTCTGAAGTCATCTATTTTATTTCTTATACTTCTAGCATTACAAGAACAACAATTTAGCCAGCCATTAAAAATTCTTCTCTATTTTGTTCCTGCAGTGAAGTTTTCTCTATATTTTATTCTTTCCTAATTATTCTGGCCCTCACCACTGTTTACTCCTAGTTTAAAGCTGTCTTTAAAATTAAATTAATGGCTCTTGTTTAGCATTCCAGTAAAACTACTTCTGTACTTTGTTCCTGCAGTATATTTTTTCTACAATTTTTTTTTTCATCATTATTCTGGCCCTCATCACTGTCTACTCTCAGTTTAAAGCCACACTTACAACTGAATTAATTGCCCTTACAAACAAGCCACTCCTACCCTATTTAAAGGTAAATCATCCATTCCAAAAAAGCTCTCTTTTTTTCCCATTGAACGGATCCCACAAATCCAGCTAACCTATTCATCCTTACATATAACCTAAGCCTACTCATAATTTCATCCCCAGAACTAATTTATGGCAGTATCCCTGATAGAATTAAATTATTATGGCCCTTTTCATTAAACAACTTTATCAATTACCTCCTATAACCTAACCTTCTCTACAACATTATCCCTTATGCGAACTACAAAGACAACATTACTGTTAGCATCTATTACAATATCACTTGCTCTGTCGGTTATATCCTCTGATCCTGGAAAGCAGAATCCAATTCTTTTCTCCATATTTACCCCACAGATTCTCCTATTCATGTGCCGCATTAAAATATCACTTATAACCATAACCTTTATGTTTTTCATTCCTATCCTCACCTGTCCCTTTTTTTTCCTTCCCTCCACTACTTCCTCATCTGCATAAGCTAAAGCCTGATATTTGTTATTTAATAGAACCTGCTCATTATAATTAAATCCATTATTACTGTATCTAAATTAGTACTGTTTCTAACTTCCTGAAAGGGTCTGTATCCTTTGTTTGAAAAAGCTTAAGTTCATCTTAAAATCCTGCTGCCTTTTCCCACAATTTATCCTTCTATATATCAATCACCTTTACTTTATTTAGGATAGCCTCAAGTTTCTCCTCCAACCTACAAACTCTACATATTAATTGTACATCTTCACTAATAGCTTCTTTAAAAGTGAATGTCGGTCCCAATTCTCAAATAAAATCTATTCCTTGCACCTATCACATCTTAAAAATAATGAATGCTTAACACCAATACTAGTCTTAACCATTGTAGCTTGGGAATAAATAATCAGTACTAAATACAAGTATCCTATTAAGCTAAGCCTAACATTAAAGTATAATATATATCACTATTTTATTACTAAAATAATTTAGTTTATCTTGAAAATAAGAAATGGCAAGTGTTTATTATCCAGGCATATAATATTCAGAAACAAGTATCATGAATAGTTCAACTTAATTATATTGTTGAATATTCTAGTAATAACAATCGCTTATTGATATACATTCAACTACAAGTATTAACTAAGAAAATAATAGTTCTGTAACAACACACAGTTACATATCCTTATAGTCTAATACTTGCTGAACTGAATAAAGACATGTTATCCACAGACCTTATTCACTGGTTGTAATATAATTCTCAATTATGTTTTTAAAGTTATACTCTATGAAATTAATCGAAGCATAAATATTTATGTATGATTACGATGTCAACCAAACTTGCTAAATCAAAATCAAAATTGATATATATATTTTTTCATGTTAAAATACAGATGTTAATTCTATGAGATGTATAACACAAATTGTAAGCTAATAACAAATACACCAACATTTAAAATTATACTGAATATGTCAAGAGATGAATTTACCTCCCAAATGGCCCAGTCACATTAAGAGTTTTCATTGCTAAAATTTCTGAAGTCTTATCATCATACCAAAATTGGCTGAGTTGCTGATTGGAAAGAAAAATGTATCAGTATAAATTTAAAAGACTTTTCCAAAAACAGAATACTTTAATCACAGATAACTTAACATAATACACTCTGAATATACAGATATAATGTGCTTCACACATTATTATGTTCTTCTTCACTTTTACCCAAAGTCGTGAAGGCAACATGCAAGAACGAATATGAATAAAGTATACATATCCTAGAAAATATCAGAACCTTTTACAAACCATAAGTACATATACCTTTTTTAAACATTTTATATGTCTGTCACTAAAAAATACAATTAAAACCTACTTGTAACTAAAACGTTTTTATACTGAATTCCTCCAGGCATTTCAATGAAAAAATTATAAAAATGTTTTGATAATACTGTAAGAAAAATTGGAAGACTTTTCTATGTTCGTTACATTCCAAAATAGATGTTGACGAAAGAGTTATAATTTATGTTAAAATCTGTATATGAATGAGTAACAAATGAACATACTGCACATCTTGTCGTACTGAATAAACAATGAACAAAATAATAAAACTATAAATCTGATGTATAAGTTGCAATATGTGGAGAAACTCCTTCACTCAATTACATTGTCCAGAATTAATGATAGAATTTCACAAAAATTCCTCAAATTTCTCTTTTAACACAAAATATTATCAGATGTCTCCCAAAGTTATTCTCAAACAAACAAGCTTAATTCTGACTGCATTTAATGTTAATATATTTTTGAAATTAACTTATTCAAAACAAATTGTATGGAACACATAATTACATGTTATACAATCAATACAATGATAAATAGTTTGATCATTATTCCCTAATGCTAACAATTCTGTACACAGCTAAAAAAAAAAGTAACCAGTCACTCAAATAGTTAGGTGGGGGGTGGGGGGATCAATTAGTAGCTTTTGCTATGTATGTATGTTTTAAGCAATATTCCTCATCTTCAAGAGTTGATAAATAGAAACAAGATCGAACAAGATGATCACGTTAATTCCAAGCTTAAGAAAAACTAGGGAAGTCTAAAAAATAATAAAAGGCTCCTGGGTCAGATAATGTTCCCCCAAGGGTTTTGAAGGAGGTTAAGGATTGGATATGTGAGCCACTTGCTACTATTTTTTGTAAGTCCTCAAATAGTAGACAGGTGCCAAAGGATTTGATGTTACTCTTCTTTTCAAGAGAGGTGATAAAAATTGTTCCAGTCTTATTAGTCTTACACCAGTTGTGGGAAAAGTTTGGGAAAGTCTGATAAAAGATGATTTGCAGATTCATTTAACAAAGCTGAAAATTTTGTTGGATAGTTTCCCTAAGGGAAAATCTTGCCTTATAACTCCTTTGATATTCTTTGGAAGTTAACATTTTCTTAAATCAAAAATGTATTTCCAATAATACTTACCCCCTCTCACATTACAGTTATTACTCGAATGCCAGGATTTCCTTCCTTTGCCCATCTATGTATTGGTCTGAATTTTTCTTGCTTGCTCCAGTCTTTTATTCCCCACTTAATTGCCCTTGGCGTATATCTGATATCTGTCACGACATTCTCCACCTACGTCAGTGTGCTCTCTATCCTGGTACATAAGCAACTCATTTAGATAATATTATCACTTTTTTGAGACTGAGCCATTCTGCAGCTCTAACACTGGCTCTTAGTGGGAAGGAAGACTGGGAGGAGAGGTAAGTATTATTGAAATACATTTTTGATTTAAGAAAATGTTAACTTCCAAAACATACCTCAGCTCACACTACAGCTAGAATCCCACAATGATAAGAAAAATTCAGACCAATGCTTAGATGAGCAAAGGAAAGAAACCCTGGCAGTCGAATAGAGTGAAAGGAGGTAAGAATGTTTAGGAACGGTTACTGTTTATGTAGATGAGAGTAAGGGTGTAGATTTGGTGTACTTAGATTTTCAGAAAGCATATGACAAGGTGCCACATAGAAGGTTTGTAAAACAATTATATCTAGAGGTGTGGGGGATAAGTTAGAAAATTGAATAGAAGAGTGGCTCGATGGTAGAAAGCAAAACGTTGTTATAAATGGAGTTCAGTCAAACTGGATTAATGTTACAACTGGGGTATCCCATGGCTCAGTCTTAGGACCTTTGTTCTTTTTTGATTTACATCAATGACAAAGATGAAGAAATGATCGATAAGTTACTTAAATTTGCTGATGATATTAAGGTCTTGGGTGTTGCTAGCTGTGAGGAGGAGGATGCTGATTTATAAAAGGATTTAGATCATTTAGTGAGTTGTAGAAATAAATGGCAGATGGGGTTTCATTATAATAACTGTAAGATAATGCATGTGGGTTATCATAATTTGAATTATAAGTGTAACTTGGATGGGAATATCCTCAACAGTGTTATGAAGGAAAGGGATCCTGGTGTAATATTCAATCAATCTCTAAAGCCATCCAACCAGTGTGCAGTTGTTAGGGATACAGCAAATAGGATTTTAGGTTGTATCTACAGAAATATGGAATATAACTGTAAAGAGGTTATAATTTCATTGTACAAGTCACTGGTTAAGCCACATTTGGAATATTGTGTTCAGTCTTGGGCTCCTTACATTAGGAAGGACATTGAATTGTTGGAAAGGGTTCAGAGGAGGGCTACTTTTTGCTTTTGTTGTCTTTTGGTACAGTATGTGAGAATACTAATTTTATGTTTTTGGTTTCTAAATTTTTTAAACAACAATGTGTCAGTTAACTTTATTATATAACCATTGCTCACAGTCACTTGTTTTATTGTTTTTAGTTCAGTTTCATAATCTTCAGATGACAAGGGCACAGTGATAAGCCTGTGTAACAATCCATGGAACAATTTAGGCTAAATGTTGTGTAACAACAAAGACAAAATTGAAAAGCACAGTAACAGTAGTGTTTACCAATTAACATGTCAATACTGCAATAGTGTATATATACATAGGTCAAACAGGACATTCCACAGAAACAAGAATTAAAGTAAAATTCTAGGAGCTGAAAATGAAAGAAAATGGATTCAACCCTCACATCCCACCTTAATGAAACTAAACACCAATTTGATCTGAAAAAAAAATTCAAAACTTTACATATCTGTGAAAAAGGTGAAAAACTAGATAGCTGGAAGTTGTAGAAATAAATATGTCTAAGAACAAATCCAGAAAGTTCTAAATGACAAAATAAACTTAAGTGCCTCCCCACTTGTCTCAAGGTGAATGTCAAGGTTACTTTCTGTTCTTTGGGTAAACTATATATATACAAGCCTATTTATAAACCATTTCAGTCTGTTACTGATCATGCCTTTATTGGTGAAACCATGGTCATTAATAAATGAAGTTTTTGTGTAATGTACAGTTGTCTTTGTTTTTTCCTCAATTCTGTAATAATGGAGTTTCACCAAGTACCAATGGTTTCAAGAATAAATTATATAAGACAATTTTATTTTTTCTAACAGGGTGGTTGGCCTTTGGAATGGGTTGCCTTTGGATGTTATGGAGGCAGTAAATGTGAATTTAAGAGAAAGCTTGATAAATATATGAAGGATAAGGACTGGCTTTGAGGTGTTTGTTTTAATAGTTTTAGTTTAGTTTAGAGGATGGAACAGCCTAGATGGACCAATAGGTCCCTTGCTGACCCTAAGCATTATGGTATATGTTATGATTTATTTACCAGCATTTTCTAAAATATTTAATGCTATAAAAACATGAACATCAAATTTTAAGTATAAATGTTGTTTCATTATTATTTTTTACATGTTCATAACACCTCTTCTAAAATAGGTATAAACTACATTGTATATACCCAGCTTTCCACCAAATGTAATCATAATTTTAATTATAGGTTAAATATTTTACATATAAAAATACATTTTACCCAATCTTCATCTACGTCAAAGTTTCCATTGCCACCTTTTTGAGACAGCTTTGCTGCTTGTTCATTATAAAATTCTTGTAGAGCTAGAAGAGTTTCAGATGAGAGCTGTGGATGTTCATCATCGCTTTCCATTTTTGATACTGTACAAAATTATGTATAAATTACAAATAACCCAGGGATGAAAATAAGAAAACATTTAAGTTATTCTAAAATGTGAATTACTATTTTATTTTATAAGATGCAACTAGTTCACTAAAAATAAGACCTTTTATTTGCATCAGAAGAGATGAGGCATCACACATCTTTGTGGTGACTCATCCTGACACATGGATGTGGTGAAGTTGTTTTTTAAATGGATGTTGCAGATTAAACAATGATCTTGATGTATGGTTGGTTAGTTTGTTTTTAATTAAGCGCAAAGCTGCACAGTGGACTATCTAAATCCAGTTTTTAGCATTATGAGCCTACAGGCTTACTGCTGTGCCACTGGAGGAGAGAAGGGGGGGCTGATATATGGAATGATAGAAAAGAACTGAGTATACAAAACATTACAGGTATAATAACTATCACATTTAATTCCTCTTGCTGAATCCCAATCCATTCCTAAACAAGATTTACATACTTAAAATACTTGGTGAATTACTGTTTTTTGTAATGAAGACCAGTAAAGAATATTGAGCATTTTTTTTTAGATTTTGTTTTACCTCATAAACTTTTTTCTGACATACCTGCTCTTTTAACGAATGCACCTGGGTTGTGTATCATGACTTTTAAAAAGCCATGAAATTACTAGCAGAGGTAAAATGGATCCTCACCCAGTTGATGAAAAAGATAACAAAAGACAAGTTGATAAACTTTTGTTTAATCAAACTGATGGAAGAAAACAAACACTGGTGACAAATAACTATATTTAATGATGTGACATGCAAGGTCCGTAAACTAAAGTTAAAGCAGTCTGTTTTGAGGCTTTTACCATTTGTTATCTATATCAATGATGTGGATACTTTATTGTAATATTTCAAATCTATTGATGATAACATCTTAACTATTTATTTCGGGAAAACTTGGACAGCCTGACTGTCTTACTAATTAGTCAGTGACTACAGTATAACATGGAAGATGTTTTTCAACAATGACTGACACAGTGAAACTAGTGAAAGATGTAAAAACACTTACGGTAACGGAAATTAGGAAAAAACGTTCTTTAAACTATTAATAATAATAATCTACCAATTTAAAAAAAAAAGTTTTATTTGAGAGTTTGTTATAAAATTAGATCAAAGTTTATAACATATATATAAACACTTCAGACAGTTCAAATACTACAGTTAAACTAGTAGAATTTAGAAACGAAGCCACTTTAGTTCTTTAACTTCAACTTAAGTACTTACGAATACAATCACCTACGTACGACAAATTGCTGTCAATGATAATATTAATTAATGATACAATTACACTAACAGTTAGACAGTAAAGTAATATTAAACCCGTGTAACTGTCTAAAAAATTTTAATTCGAAATTATAACAGTTCACTAAATTCGCAAATAGCGAAATATAACTCGTTACTTTATTATGATAAGCCCTCTAGTGATGAATCATTTTATTTTCCTAATGACAAAAAAATAGCGCGCAGCAGCTTTCTGGATCCTAATGCTTGAGGTGTTTTTTTTTGTTTGTTTGTTTGTTTTTTTACTAAAACCATACTGTAATATTTTTATAACGTAAGATAGCTAATTGAGCTAGAAAAGACAATGGGTGATTTTTTATTGCTAATTTGTCGTTCAATAAATCTCTGTCCTTGTTAAACATAACAAATTATCTCAAGAACACAAGCTCTGTGTTTATACAACATACTTGGGTATTACTATAACATTAATGGAAGTAATAATTTTTTTTCTTTTTTTTTTCTACTGCTTATTTTAGTTCATTTTATATACCAATATTTGTTTATATTCGTTTGGGAAAATGTACAATCAGTAAAAAGATATTTTATAATGCGCTTTCAATTTACAGTGAAATTTCCTATCAACTTTTGTTTTCTGTATTGCATCATAACAGTTAAATACTAATAGATCTCTGCATCATAATAATGTTACGTCTCTGTTTTCGTTT